CTATTATACCCACATTATTTTGGTGCATATTATTATTTCACCTCACTAGTAAAGACAACACCACACGCTGTGGAGGAAACATGCAAACCAGGGGCATATGGCAGTCATAACTGAAAAGTAGGCTACGAACGTGAGGGGAAAGGTGCCGAGACAAAACACCCTGGACAGACACACATTTAGAAAAATGGACGACACCCCGTGTGAGGTGAAATAATATGCACCAAAATAATGTGGGTATAATAGAAACTTTTTTTATCTGGTTTTACCTTGAAAAGAGGACTATAGCATGTGATTTTAACATGAACTAAGACAGTGTACCAGTTTTAACACAATTTAATAAAATAACTGTAACATATAAAGACACCTGAAGATGGTCCTTTGGGGCCGAAACATGTAGTGTCAAAGTGTATAATGTTAAACTAAAAATTGAGTGGTGAATGGGAGAGTGTTGCAATATTGATGGACGATAAATAATGGACGTTAAGTTGAACAATTGCAATGGGATGCTGAAATACAGAACAATGTAACAATCTTGTAAGATTTGAGGTTTTCACGGTGGTGACTATGAAGAAAGCAGTCTTCTGGGATGTGGCACCGTGTAGATGTGGTGTTAACCGACGTTTCGGAGGAACGTATCGCCTCCATCTTCAGGGTAGAAGGAAAAATAAGAAATCTGCGAGCAAAGAGACCGTGAGAACCTGTACAAGCAGACTGGTGTTGGAAATAAACACAGCCATGTGAGAGCAGCAAAGGGAGGGGGGGGGCAAGTCTACACGGGAAATTTGTGGAGTGGGAGGGGGGAAGGGGCTGGGAACAGAAGCAGGGTTTTGTATAAGACCTCTGTGATATATATAATGCCGATCACACAAGTCTATTCTTCAATCTACAACCTAGCAAAACCCTTACAAGATTTTTCCCATGGTGGTATAAATTCTAAACAGCAGTTTACTGTACCCTTTGCATTCAATGCTGATGGTAGTTTTAAACTACCACCTCTTGTAATTAGAAAATATGCAAGTCCATGTTGCTTCAGGAATGGCAAGAGACTGCTTACAAAATATAAAGCTAATAGAAATTCTTGGATGACCACCAAACTATTTGAAGATTACCTCACATAACTAGATAGAAAACTTTGTGCTCAATATTGCAAAATCTTGCTTTTCATTGATCAGTGTGCTACCCATCCAAAGAACACCACATTTCTCAGCAATATCAAACATCTGTTTCTCCCAGCTAACTGTAACAGCCAGTTACAGCCTTTAAATTGGGGAATCATCCATGCATTCAAGTGCTATTACAGAAAGCATTTGATATGGAAGACTAGCCATGATAGGTGGGAGATTGTCCCAAGATGCAGCACGGATGAAACTGGATGTGTTGTCTGCAGTGCATTTCATAGCAGAGGCCTGGAGATTGATAACACCCACTGCAATAAGAATTGCCTTGTGAAGTGCTGTTTCTCAATTGATCATGTCATCTGCAATGATGACAGAGCACTGAAACTCAGTGAAGATGAAGAGGATTACTGGCTCAGTTACACCCTCTTGGAGTGCAGTTTGAGGACTACACAACATGTGACAGTGCTCTTCAGGTTTGTGGAATCCAGAGCGTTGAGCAGGATGTTGGATTAATGTTGTACCATTTTTCCATGGGAGGTGAAGGTTGTATCAAATGCTCCAACCGCTGTTTGCTAGGTAACGTTTTACTAAACACCATCTGACAGCCGGAATAGCAACGAATAAGAAGTTCATTTGCCAGGCAATGGCTCACTGAAACTTATTTTAATGTCAACAAAATTTCAGCACAATTTTCCATGGATATGAGCAACACCCACGTCTGGAAACTCTGGAGCTAATATACTTTTGTGTTCTTCTTTTACTTGTTTTAATTCATTCATATACCATAATCCATCACATATGTCGCAGGCATAATCAGATGGATTACCTTTTACCTTTACAATCACAATATATACATTTACTTTTGATATTTGTGATTAATAACAGTGAACACTTTAAAAGAAACTCCCAGAGGCATAATAGAGACATTAGGAACAGTCTCGATATGCATTACCCAAGGTCTCATCTGTCACTGTACCAAGAAGGCTTACATTATACAGGGATTAAGGTTTTTAATAGACTGCCTGCTCCTATAAAACTATTGTCAAATGATATAAAACAATTTAAAAGCGCATTGAGGGAATTTCTGTATCTTTATTCCTTTTATTCACTAGAGGAATATTTTAATATAATACAATAATATACTTTATAATTTTAGTTTGATTTTATATTTATAATGTTTATAATTTTGATACTATTATATTTATATCTTGATTTTAGCATACTGTGCAGAAATGTGATAAATCCATTATATGTTTAGGCTATTCTTTTTTATTGTACCTATTTTATTGTTGACAAAGCTCTGTATAGGAACTGTTTTTTCTTTTATAATTATCTTTGACATGTTCTACATCCTGTGGCATGTTTGTCAATAACGATTTATGGAACAAATAAAAAAGTGATGTGAAGTAGAATTCTTTTGAAAGTATTCATTGGCTGGATTATAACTGTATATAATTGGAGTTGGTGTAGGGTCAGTTGATGTAGATGCTTGTGGTGTTTTATTTTCTGAGCTTTGTGTTTTCTGTAATTACACATGTTTTCAGCAGGTATGGGTACATTATTACAATTATCTTCTTCTAACTGCTTCCTGTTCCTGTACTTTCTCATATATATATATACATATACTATCGTGCAGATGTCATACGCTGGCAGCTTGCCTATAGCATTGCATCATACACTAAAGAGTGGAACTGAATTTGCCATATAGCTCACATTTATTAATGTATTTCACGTGCAATAGGTCCAGATTCTTCTACATGCTTCGCTGTGCACATATCCATGGTAATGAGGTCAACAACAGAACTGCGGTTAGGTAGCAGTGAAGGTACCAATAATTACAAATTATGAAAAAGTTAAACAGTTCCATCTAGTGTGATTGGTGAAGATTTTTCTTATTTCAATTATTTATGCCCTTGAAATAAGAAAAATCTTCATCAGTCACACTAGACCGAACTGTTTAACTTTTCAGTTTATTATTGGTGTGACGGACCAGAATGAATCAAATCAAATTACAAATTCTTACCTATTCTGTCACTTATGGAAAATTGTTACATTTTCTTTTGCTAATGGTTTCATTCCATTTGCACCCCTGTAGGTAGGTGAGTCAAATTAAAACCGTAAAACTGAGATAAAAATTCAAAATATCGCGCCATTGTCAAATAAGTTGGCAGACATGTTACCAATGCTATGAAGAGTATCCTATACTATTACTGCCTGGTAACTTTAGCCGCCCAGAAAGGCAAATGCTGTTGTGGGGCACGCAAAGCTATACCCTTGCTGTGGGGCCGTTCAGAGCTACTCCTCGAGCGGAAAACATTGCCTACGGAGACCAGGAGTAGTACTATACACCTGACCATACTCCAAGATGCTACATTTCAAACTGGTAGTACCCATGCTGACAAGACTGCTCCCCCCCGCTCTGTGAGAGATGGTATGACCCCTCTACCGCAGCTAAAGATATGAAGCAGTAACAGAGTAGGTGGCAGTATAATGCAGACAAACAGAACGCCATCACAGTGACAGTTTGAAGACGGCTGCTCCACTACGTACACGCACGAAAGATCAATGTTCTGTAATTCGTTTCTTGTTCAGTGAAGGTGTGAAAATGACTGAAGTTCATCAACAGACGAAGGTTCAGTATGGTGATGTATTCTTGTCACAGCAGCAAGTGTACGAGTGGAGTATGAAATTCAGAAATGGTGTGACATCTGTGGCAGACGCTCCTCACCCAGGTCACGCGCACACAGTTGTGACCCCTGAGTCTAATGCAGCAGTTGAAGCCCTAGTGATGGAGAATTGCCGAGTGTCAGTGGATGAAATAGCCAAACTTCTTAACATGAATCACGGATCAGCACACCATGTCATTCATGATGGGCTCCAGTTTCACAAAGTGTCTGCAAGGTGGGTGCCATGGCAGCTGACTCCAGAATTGAAACGATGACATGTTGCTGCCTGTGAAGAACTTCTGCAGTGCCTTGAAGCAGAAGGTGATGGCTTCTTTTGAGAATTGTTACGGGTGATGAAACTTGGGTGCACTACCACCAACCAGAAACAAAGAGAACAAGCAAGGAACGGTGTCGTTCCTCATCAACAAAACCCAAGAAGTTCTGGACGCAGCCATCTGCAGGGAAGATTATGCTGACTCTCTTCTGGGACGAATGAGGTGTACTCTTGGAGCACTACACACCTCAGGGGAACACTATCACCAGTGCCTCATACTCAGATCTCTTGAAGAATCATCTTTGACCTGCAGTCTGATCAAAGTGACGTGGACTTTTGACTACAGGTGTCCTTTTGCAACATGACAATGCTCAGCCCCATACTGCCCATGCAACAGTTGCAACAATCCAAGCCTTGCACTTTGACTGTCTTCCACATCCGCCATACTCAACAGACAGAACCCAAAGTGATTACCACATTTGGGCCACTTGAAGAGGCGATGGGAGGAAAGAAGTTCCGTTCTGATGAGGTACAGCAGGCGGTGCATGAGTGGTCGCGCAGACAACTACAAGATTTTTTTCTAGAGGAATCCATATATTTTGTAAATGCTCGAGGGCCTGTATTGAACGAAATGGAGACTATGTAGAAAAATAATATAGTTGTGTACCGCTTTCATTCAATAAATTAAATTAAAAAAAAATACGGTTTTCATTTGACTCACCCTCGTATAATGTTTTCAATGTTAAAAACGAATTCTTGTGAAACATGATATTATGTGATAACAGACCTATCTCTCTATGTAGTAAGAGAGTAACCACTTGCCCTGAGCCCAGAGTGAGGTCAAACGGTGACTACATTAAAAGAATAATATTCCGCAAATTTCTGGTCGTTCATATACATAAAATGTACCTACAAAACTTTGGAGTAAGTGATTATACTAAAAACATTGAAATTTTTTATTTGAAGTCCAGTAATCCAAAACAATTCAATTGGCCAAAAACACAAGAGATTTCATTAGCTTTATCATTCAGTTTGCACTATAGTTGTTCCAAATGCACAGAACTGTAATGTGTTTTCTAATGTCATTTGTAAGCAACTTAAACACACTGTATCATAATCTAAAATTGCCATAACATTGATTCTTAATAACACAATAACAATATAAAACTATGTCCAAAAGGTTTCATTGCACAAAACAGGTACATTTACGTTACTTATATTAAATTCAACTACAAATTATATAACTGATTTCCCACCCAAATCTTCAGCCTATTCAAGAGATGCACAGAAGTAAATGCACTACAAATTATTTACAGCTGATTAGTAAATAAAATCAAATGTGTAGCATATAAAATCATTTTTAGTGATAAATGGAGGCATCAACATCATAATACTGCTTCACATGTCTATACATTCTTCTAATTTATCTGCAGTTCAATTGTATGACACAAGGAACAAAGGCCCTCTGGTCCTCTTGGATGTGCCACCGTATAGTCTCATATAGCGTTGCCTTTGTTATGGAAGAACCTGATGCCTCTGTCTTCAGTCCTGAGAAGAGAAGCAGAAACATTGGCACCTACCTACTGCATTAAATGGCATAATATGATATTAGTACTCATCTCTTCCAGAAACAGTGACAGGAAGGTTTGCTGTGTAGGCTCAAACTGCTCTCTCCTTCTCATGCACTAAAATTAAAATCTGTCATGCCAGGTTCATTCTCTTTGGGTTAATCAAAGCTGTAAAGTGTTTAACATTCATGTCTGTACAGCTTCAGTTAACAAAACGTTCAGTCCATTCAACTGGAAAGAGTAGTTACATTTCTCTTAACCTAAGGAAAACAATCACTGGTGCAAAATAAAATTCATATTTCCTTACAAGTCTTATCTAAAATTCATATATGTATGCTGCAAATTATTACATACCATACATTACTGGAAGCCTATCTGGAATCAAAGTGTTGATGTTGCGTCGTTCTGCGAGTAGCCTGGCGCTGGCGAGCTAAGAATGACTGACCCTGTCCTGAACTTAGTGCAGCCAAACGATTGTCTAAGGCTTCACGCTGTCGAACTGTGCTCTGAAACATGATTATGGAATACAGGGTTTACGAAACATGGACAAATTTCCAAATGCATGGGCATCCTGCCATTCATATGAGAAATGGCAAATTTATTTAAAATGTACTGAAGATATATATGAAGCAATATTATTATTTTTCCTTCAAGCACCAATCTACAGAACGTAACATTGTATGATAACTGACAGTGATCAGTAAACAGGGATATACATAATGACCATAGCAGCCACCAGCCACAAGGCTCTGACTACAATGAAAAACAAAGATTAGCTCGTCTACTCTCATATTTTGATTATTTCATACATAATAAGAAGTCACTACATAGACTGACTGAAAGTTATCACCTTATTGCCATTATCCACTGGAGTATACAGATTTTTAAGCCATGAAAGTTAATTTCAATGGTATACTAATACAATGACTGATTTTGTGGACATCATCAATCATCCAAATTTTAATGAAAATGATGTTTCAGAAACTGGACTCTGTCTCCATTCTCAAGTAAAATACTCAATGTTTCTGGACTCTAGCCATCTTCCTGTTTTATCTAAAATACAGTCCTGTGGAGGCAGTACATTTGTTAGAAACATGTGAAGACTTCTAGCAGACTACAAACAATTAAATCCCAGAAGAAAGTATTCATACAAATTTATTTTAAATGTTTCCTACAGGGAATTCCAGGGTAATACCAAGGAGACCAGTCTACAGTTTGCCAGGCCAAATCAAGCACTTAAAGACTGTGTTGCAAAAGTTGTAACTTGGTAACTTATTTTTTAATGATGTGGAGTCTAGATGGGAGGGATTTCCAAGCTACACTGGCCGATCAGCGAACTACCTGAGCCACATGAGCTGATTCCTTCCATTTCCTACAGGTGATGTTAGGTTCAAAGTATAAAACATTACTTCCTTTCCAACATATTTGGAGGCCCTTTTAATATGCATATTGAGATAACTTTCCCTTAAGGAGCACAGATACAATCGGATGACAGGTCTGCTTAAAAAATCAAAGCCTGCCCAACTTGTATACAAAGACAGTCACCAAACATTTGGAAAGATATTAGGTTTTACAAATTAAGCCTAGCACCATCAACATTAAATACAATGAATAAGCTTCAATAGCTCCAGTAACTCGTCTATTCAGTCAACCAAGCTTGGATATTAAGAGTTCTATTTCCTATGATATAACACAGTGTAGTGTGTTGGAAGTCAACCAATGTTTTGGAGGAACAGGCTGCCTATCCCCTCAAGGTTGAAAAAGCCAAGCAAGAGGCCAGCAAGAAGCAGGCTGACTTTCAGAAACTACATGCCACCATATCCCTGAAAACAGAACTCTACATAACCACTGCTGTGAGAACCTCAAATCCTACAAAACTTGGACACCTCTGCCATCTGGACTGCCATCATTAAGAGGGAAATTAGCAAGTCACAACTCCATCCAGTTTTAAGATTACATGCATACCTCATTTTACTGGGTTTCACATTATTGCGCTTCGCAGATACTGCTTTTTTACAAACTGGAGGTTTGTGGCAACCCCGCATTGAGCCAGTCCATCGTCATCATTTCTCCAACAGCATGTCCTCACTTCAGATCTCTGTATCACATCTGGTAATTCTCACAATATTTCAAACTCTATCATTATTATTATATCTGTTATGATCGGTGGTCTTCAATGTTACTGTTTTAACTGTTTTGGGGTACTACGAACCGTGTCTGTATAAGACAGTGAATTTAATCAATAAATACTGTGTGTTCTGATTGCTCCACCAACTGGCCGTTCCCCCTTCTCTCTCCCTCTCCTCAGACCTCCCAATTCTCTGAGACACAAGAATATTGAAATTAGAACAGTTAAAAACTTTACAATGGCCTCCAAGTGTTCAAGTGAAAGGAAGAGTCACAGGTCTCTCACTTTAAATCAAAAGCTAGAAAGGACAGCTTTGTGAGGAAGGCATGTCAAAAGCTGACGTAGGCAGGACGCTAGGTCTCTTGCGCCAAACAGCTAGCCAAGCTGTGAATGCAAAGGAAATTAAAAGAGCTACTCCAGTGGACAGAACAAATGAATGATAAGAAAGTGAAACAGCTATATTGCTGATATGGAGAAAGTTTTAGTTGTCTGGATAGAAGATCAAACCAGCCACAACCTAATCCAGAGCAATGCCCTAACTCTCTTCAGTTCTATGAATGCTGAAGTGAGCAATCTGCAGAAGGAAAGTCAGAAGCTAGCAGAGGTTGGTTCATGAGGTGTAAGGAAAGAAGCCATCTCCATAACATAAAAGTGCAAGGTGAAGCAGCAAGTGCTGATGAAGAAGCTGCAGTAAGTTATCCAGAAAATCTAGCTAAGGTAATTGATGAAGGTGGCTAAACTAAAGAACAGATTTTCAATGTAGACAAAACAGCCTTATATTGGAAGATGTCATCTAGGGCTTCACAGCTAGACAGGAGAAGTCAATGCTTGGTTTCAAAGCTTCAAAGGACAGGCTGACTCTTTTGTTAGGGGATAATGCAGCTGGTGACTTTAATTTGAAGCCAACACTCATTTACCATTCCAAAAATTGTAAGGCACTTAAAAATTATGCTAAATTTACTCTGCCTGTGCTCCATAAATGGAACAACAAACCCTGGACGACAGCACATCTATTTACAACATGGTTTACTGAATATTTTAAGGCCACTGTTGAGACCTACTGCTCAGAAAAAAAAAGATTCATTTCAAAATATTACTGTTCATCGATAACGCACCTGAGCCACCTAAGAGCTCTGATGGAGATGTACAACAAGATTAATGTTGTTTCCATGCTTGCTATCCATTCTGCTGCCCATGGTTCAAGGAGCAGTTTCGACTTTAAATTCTTATTATTTAAGAAATACATTTCTGGCATACATAGTGATTCTTCTGATGATTCTGGCCAAAGTAAACTGAAAACATTCTGGGAAGGATTTGTCATTCTAGATGTCATTAAGAACATTTGAGATTAATGGGAGGAGATCAAAATATCAACATTAACAGGAGTTTGGAAAAACTTCATTCCAACCCTCATGGATGACTCTGAGGGGATCCAGACTTCAGTGGTGGAAGTAACTGCAGATGAGCAGCATGAGAACTAGAATTAGCAGTGGAGCCTGAAGATGTGACTGAACTGCTGCAATCTCATGATAAAACGAATGAGGAGTTGCTTCTTACGGATGAGCAAAGAAAGTGGCTTCTTGAGATGGAATCTACTCCTGGTGACAGTGCTGTGAACACTGTTGACATGACAACAAAGGATTTTGAATATTGCATAAACTTAGTTGATAAAGCAGTGGCAGGGTTTGAGAGGACTGACTATAATTTTGAAAGAAGATTTACTGTTTATAAAATGCTATCAAACAGCATGGCATGCTACAGAGAAATCTTTAATGAATGGAAGAGCCAATCAATTCGGCAAACTTCACCATTATCTTATTTTATGAAATTGCCACATCAACCCCAACCTTCAGCAACTACCACCCTAATCAGTCAGCAGCCATCAACACTGAGGCAAAAGAATTATGACTTGCTGAAAGCTCAGATGTTGGTTAGCATTCTTTTAGCAACAGAATATTTTTAATCAAGGTATGTAAATTGTTTTTTAGACATGATGATATTGCACATAATAGACTATAGTACAGAGTAAACATAACTTATATATGCATTGGGAAATCAAAAAATTCACGTGACTTGCTATATTGTGGTGATCTAGAACCAAACCTGCAATATCTCTAAGGTATGCCTGTATATGGGAATGCTCCAGTTATCAGTACTGGTTTTATCTGCTGTAGGTCCTTACTGGAATGTAGGAAATATTAACTAACTCTGTGACTTTATTCCGCAATTATCTGCTTGAATTCTAACCCTCTGCACTTTTTGGGCTTATATTCTATCTCTGTCTTATCAAAGATTTAAATGTTTGTAGACTAAGTCCAAGAGTATGATTTATGTATGCTGCAATACCTTCAGTTGCCCTTTTCAGAAACTGTTTCAATGATTTCAGTTTCAATTTTAAGTTAGACTATGGTTTCATGGACTCTGGTTAGAACATATGCAAGGCAGAGCTACAAAGCCTCATGCATATGGCTGAGTGTGTATTTTTAAGTTTGTACCTCAACTCTTGCAGATGGTTTCTGCCCTACTTGGTTTCTATATCATGTCCTATACTTATGTGGATTCTGGAGGCATGGACTAGCCTTATCGACTGAACCCAACAGAAGAGGCTTTTGCCTGAGGATGGAGAGAGAGCTAAGTCTCCGAAACATCGTTTTAATAAAAATCTGGACAATGGATAATGTCCAGAAAATAAACCATGAATGTTCTGTTCAAATGATTATTAAAACGCAGAGTAAATCACAAGCTTACAAGTTTGTAGAATGCTGCAACCATAAGTTTTTCTTCCATTTCATGAAATGCTCTGGTATGCTCTTTCTCCTCCTGGGAAACACAAGGGAATTTTTAAAACAATATATCTCAGTGCAGAACACTCAAAAAAGGCTTTCAATATCTTAACTTATGGAGTTACATTTATTCTTCATTTCTTTATTTATTTGTTGTGATATTCTGACATGACAGCTGTAAGCCAGAACAACAGACCCAGAAAAGGCATCCATTGCTGGCAACAGCCAGTCAACACATTCCCATGGCAACCAAAACATGCTCCCATATCAAAAGTAACCAAGCCATGAACAGGTAATAGCTTGATTAATGTGTCACTCAACAATAGAGGAATTCTTGGAAGCGGTATTTTCTATGCAGTCTGTGTCAAGGCTATGTAGTGAAGATGAAAGGCAAAATTTAGTTGGCAGTGAGCCATGGCTTGGAAGTCATGGGTTGTTAGTTGTAAATCAGTGGTTGTAAGTTGAAGGTTGGAGTCAGTGGTTACCAGTCCACAATCTTAAGTCGCATTGTTAGACACTGTCACCAAGCAATGACTACTGAGGACATAGAAAACTTAGTGTTGGCAGCAGGGATCTGCTGACTGTATAGATTAGTGGAAGTATTATAATTATTTGCAGGTACAAATTACAGACACTCAATAAATCCAATTATCAATTGAAAACTCATGCCTGGTCACTGACATGTGACAATATATATCAGCTGCTGAGGCTATAAAGTAACAAATAAGATCTTGTCAGGATGATTCTGAATGACGGATCTGGAAAGATTAAAAAGCAGCAGTCAAGAGTTACCTTAAAATAATATCCCTGTATTTATATAGAAAGAAGAGAAAACTCTCAAAAACTGTCAGAATAAGTGGTTCAAGCTCACATTCCATGCACTCTCAATCTCAGAGACAGATAAAGAGAGTGAATAGCTGGAGAAACATATGCCTGGTAGCCACTGGACAGGAGGCAGGGTCAGCCAAACAGGTCACAGGGATGCCATCTTTTGTTCCTGCTGAGAACTGAACCTAAATTTCTTGGTCATCCAGCCTATAGCCTAGTAGCTACAGCGAGTGAGCTGGAGTTCAAGGAATCTCTGGTTATATACGCCACTGTGTGCATCTGCATGTTTTTTATCACACTTGTGTGTTAAAAAAGAATATGTCTAATGTAAAATTCAAGTATGCTCATGAATGGTAAGTCAAAAGAGAAGGAGGGGAATAAGGGTGACATATTAAGTTTGGGGCTGCTAGATGACGGTACTTCATCAAGTCAGTCTCAGAGCATGAAAGTATATGGTAATGACCTGTCACAAGAATGCAATAAATAACTATAACATAAAAATAGCTAAGAGATCATTTGAAAATGAGGCATAGATTTAAAAACAATGCAAACAGATCAAAAATTCTCATTAAGAGAATAAGGGAAGGTGATATTCAGGGAATGATTGGTATCAATGAATTCAGCATCTCCTGACTTCCCAGCTCTTATAAAAAAACAAAGATTAAAATATTCGAACTATAATTTCACCTTTTGCTTTGTATGGTTATGTAATCTGGTCTCTCACATTAAGGGAAGAACAGAGCCGAAAATGTTTGATGATAAGGTGCTAATGAGAATCTTTAGATCTAAGTGAGAGGAAGTAACAGGAGGCTGGAAACGACTGCATAAGAAGGAGCTTCATAATTTTCCCTTGCTAGACACTAGATTGATCAAATCATGGAAGATGACTGGGGCATCGAGCATACATTGAAGGAAGAGATATGCAGACAAAATTTTGCATGAAAACCTGAAGGAAAGAGACCACTTGGAAGATGTATATATAGATGGGATGATAACATTAAAACGGACCTTAAAGATAAAGGATGGGAGGGCATGGACTGGATTCATCTGATTCAGGATAGATAGTGGTGGAGGACTTTTGTGAACTTTGTAATAAAGATTCAAGTCCACAAAATGCTAGGAATTTGACTAGTAAAGAAACTATCAGCTTCTCAATCCACATGCACTAACCATCATGGCTGAACACACGCAACTCCATGGAATGTCTGTAATCCATGTGCACTAGCCACCACAACAAATGAAGCCTAAAAGCATCCAAGAATATACTGTGACATGTCTAACCATTGCTGGGCAACGGGAGGTGGAACGAGTTACCACGAAGACAGACCCTTGATAAATGGTCAGTTGCCAAGTTACAGAACAGTAAGGAAAGCAGTGTTTCTCAATGCCGTGCCGAGTAGAGCCGAAGTGAGCCAAGCTGAGCCAAAGCACGCTGGTTGCTACACAGCAATAAACAACTCTCAGCAGTGTTGCCCAGCAATGCCTGTAAACACGGCGTTTAAGCAAGAGTGAAGCGATGTGGGATTTCCACTGTCCAACTCAGGGTTTATAAGGGAGACTGGAATGCGTAAGGAGTGAGTTAAAATGTAGCAGCCGTCAAAGAAAGTTGAAGTCTATGAGTCACCGGGTTCAGTTGTAGCGAGTGAATTGTGAACGTGAAGAAGACATCATAAGTCAGTTGAAACATAGAAGCAGTTGCAGGAAGAAGAATGGAACATGTGTTTTACTGATGATAGTGTGAAGAGATCTGTGAGCACGGTTTGTAAAGTATGTAAACCTACAACAGTGTTATAATTAATTGTAGTTATGATTTGTAGGTTGTTAAATAAACCAATTAACAATCCAAACGATGTCTTCAGTGACAAAAACACATTACAATACATACTCCTGCAATACTATACAATAACCAGACCACAGAAAGGAATGAAAGCCACATTGATCTCAAATTATACTATTTCATTAGGAACCAACTTGTTTTAAAAAAACTAAAAACTAAAGAGTTTTAGTCTTTCACATTTTACACCTTACACATACTGAAGGGACACAGGACTGCACAGCACTTTGATTATCATATATGCCTGAGGACAATCTCATATGACAAAAATATGTTGTAAATTATACACAAAACACATATTAACTGGTGTTTAACCAATTACCTATAAAGTGTTGCATTTCAAAGAATTTTATTATGTATACATATCAAGTTCTCAAGGATTCTGCTCCATCTAGTAAGTTACGTTAATTTACAAGAAAAGAACTGCATTTGTATTGTTTTAAGTGTCATCAGATAGTGACTTGGTGAACTATGATTTGCAGTTAGTGCTTGACTGTGGCACTAAGTCAGTATCAGAGTACAGATGTTTAAAAAAGGTTAAATAACCAAGATTCCAAACAATAAAACTAGAAACAAAAAAAAATGTAACACACAATACCTAACCTCCAAATCCTCAATTAGCTTGTGCTTTTCAAGCAGCTGGCTGCGAAGAACAGCTGCTTCAGCAGATCCTGGATTTTGTTTTGGATCTAAGGTTTTTATCACACTTTTTGCCTTCTCAATGTACTTCCTGTACCTCTCTTCTAGGGCCTGGAATTCCGCATCTTTCCGCCTCAATGTTTCTTCCAATGCTGCTATCTTTTGCTCTGGAATAATACAAAAACTAGCATTTTAAAAGTGCATAATTAAAAGAATATGAGGGTCCTTTTTATATAATCCTCCTGTCACAACAAAAATGGAAATCTTAATGGCATGCATCCTGTTGTGTGTTATAAATAAGGTATATAAGTATATATAAAAGTATGCAGTCTACACAACAATATTCTGTATTTAAAAACAAAGCAGACACTATTGTATCAATATTTGTTTTTATTGACACTACATGTTTCAACCCTTATACTCTCAAGAGCACAATAAGGATCCTTATTGAAGAATTAGATGCAAATAGTTGATGCAATTCAACAACTGAGGCTGGTATCATTGCACGCCTGATGGCGACCCAGTATAAGGGTCGAAACATGTAGCATCAATAGAAACAAACGTTGAGACAATAGTGTCTACTTTGTTTTTAAATACAGAATACTGTTGTGTAGACTGCATACTTTTATATACAAAAACGGAAATTACAGGCAGTTTGACGACTGAGTCACGCACTGTGAACATATCTAAGCAGCACAGGTAAAGTTACAACTCCATGTCAATTTACTCTGGTTTACTTTCTTCTTTCAAACTGTTATTTTCTATTTGTTTGAAACACTGCATTTCACACTAAAGGAACAAAGCAGGTGTTTGGCCTTCCAACACACAACATATAGATTTCCTTGCACTGTGGACAAACTATCTTCTCATTTCAATCAGAGATGTTTAGGACTTAAATTAGGTGGCATCTGTAACACATGGTTGACTTTTCTGTGGCATATATTATTAAAATCTTCTGGGATTTAAAGTAACTGTCCAAAATATATCATGCCTAACTCCATCAACTTTCAGAATCAGTTGCAATAAGGTTCCATATGTAAATGTGACATCTGTGTTAGCCAGGTTTCTTTGTTTTCAAAGGTCCACACTGATATTGTATGTGTAACTGGATCTGGCATATAGATTATATTTTTTTATACCAAATACCTCATGTTTTTTTGGGACTGTCATGCTGAAAGACAACTTTCCTTTTGAATTTTGTGATTACTTCATCCACTGCCATATGTTCAGTTGGATGATACAGTTCTGAAAATTCTGAATATAAAACAAAATATTTGTGTGATTTTCCATAATCTGTTAGGCCCTTCTCTGTCTTGTGCTGGTGTGTTTGGTCTGTAAAATGCAAATATTTTAGAATCTCGAGAAAACAATCACATGGCATAACAGAGAAAAGAACATGGTTGAGTGTCTTTGATCTAGTATAGTTTCACATTAGGCTTGTGGTCATGACCCATCTGAACTGTAACTGTCCTTCATGCTTATTTGCTGGAAATGTCACGTGTATTGTTTGTTTCTTGTGAAAAGTGGTTTGCTTTGCCCTCCATCTGCTTCCATTCTAAACCACTACAAGTAGATTCTCTCTCCAGGTCTTGCTGTTGCATTTACACTGCTCCCAAGGGGATAATTGGGTTGTCTAAGAGTAAGCACACAAGCATACTTGTTGCATATAGCAGCTTGTCTCTTTTATAATAATTAGTAGAACAGTCTGAAAATGCAGGAAAAAAGGCAAGACACTGTGAATTTTCAAAAATATTTGGAGCAGCAGATTTGTTTAGCCAATTTTGTTCTCCCATAAACTGGTGTGCATTTTGTCTTAACAGAAGAAAGCTGTAAAACTATTCTACGAGGGTCGTACAGAAAGTCATGAGCAACAATTTTTTGTAAAGCAACATGCTTTATTATTGACAAACCAAATATACCACCTCAATTTACAGACCTTTCTTTATTTTTCCACATAATCGCCACTTCTTTGTACACATTTCTCTAAGTGTTCTGGAAGTTTGAAAATTCCCCTTCTGTAAAATTCCGTTCCAGCAATCCGAAGACGCTCATGCACTGCTTTCTGAATTGCCTCCCTTGTCTCAAAACGTTGTCCACACAGCTGATCCTTCACAAATCCGAAAAGATGGTAGTCGAATGGTGCCAGATCAGGCCTATAGGAGGGGTGTGGAAGAACTTCCCACCCCATATTTACAATTGCTTCCAGTGTGAGGTGAGCGGCATGGGGGCAAGCTTTCTCATGCAGGATGATGATGTTTCGTCCCAGACATTTATAGTGCAATGCACGATGGAGCTTGTGCAGCATTTGGACATAACACGCAGCACTGATGGTTTGCCCAGGTTCCAAGAATTCGGCTAGAATAAACCCCTCTGCATCCCAAAAGACTGTGCCCATCACCATCGCAGCTGATGGCACTGTCTTTGCCTTCCTTTTTGATGGAGAATGCAAATGGTGCCATTCCATACTCTGCTGTTTCGTTTCAGGCTCGAAATGGTGAAACCAGCTTTCATCACCTGTCACAATACAGAGCAAAAAATAATCGCCTTCGTGTCGATATCTCTGCAGTAGTTCTGAGGTGATGGCTTTTCGCAGACCTTTGTGGTCTTCGGTCAATAGCCGTGGGACCCAACGAGCACAAATTTCCTATAACCCAAGCTTTCAATCATCTCCTGTACTGCACTGTGCCCTATTCCAAGTTTTCAGGCTATTGTGTCCACAGTCACACGCCTGTCATCTTGAATGATCTCATCCACTCTTTCCTTGTTGCGTTCAGTTGAGGCTGTTCGAGGACAACCACTCCGAGGCTTATCTTCGATGCTGGTGTACCCATCTTTAAAATGTTTCACTGATCTTCGAACACTGCTCGCACCCATGCACACACTTCCATAAGCACGGTGAAGTCTCTGGTGAAATTCTGCAGCAGGGATTTCCTCTTTCACAAGAAATTCAATGACAGCACGCTGGCGAAACGACATATGGCTGTCGGCCATTTTGTTAGGAGTGATACTGGTCACGTGATGCAAGCTATTGACGTCACAAGACACTCACGGTTAACACAACAGCTGGTTCCACCTACCACCATACTCTCTTTCGTCTGCTGTTCCCAGGTTGCATGCAAAGACTTTCGGTACGACCTACGTAAATCATTATTTTCTTCAGGTGGACCTTTGGGTATCTTCGGTCTCCTCTTTTGAGTCAATAACAGCATACTGTTCTGTGCGCATATTGAAGCAACTACAAATATAAATCACTCCGTCCAATGTGACCTGTAAGCTTTTTACTACATGAAAACTTAACACCCTTACATGTTTCAGTCTCTGTGGACCATCTTCAGAGGGCAAACATCACTACAAATAGGAAACCACCATCACATAAGTTGTTTAGACGTAAAGTGCGTACACTTATATGCTACAATGCATAGTACACAAAATAGACATTTCACATTTCACAAACACAGTTCTGAACAGTGAAAACAACACAGCAGCCACGAGCAAAGCCTGGATGATATAAAGAACCTCCACATCAAGATAGCCAGGTGGCACATTATCTGCCCCATATAAGAGGGACGATGGGAGGACGAACACGAGCCTGCATGGTTTACGAATTTTAATTATTGACAATCCAAAACATTTTTAATTAGCATCAAGAAATTTTATACAATTTTATAAAAAACTTTACATTCCCAGGAAACTGCTGTGTTTGTGAAATGTGAAATGTCTATTTTGTGTACTATGTATTGTAGCATATAAGTGTATGTACTTTACGTCTAAACAACTTATGTGATGGTGGTTTCCTATTTGTAGTGATGTTTGCCCTCTGAAGATGGTCCACAGAGACTGAAACATGTAAGGGTGTTAAGTTTTCATGTAGTAAAAAGCTTACAGGTCACATTGGACGGAGTGATTTATATTTGTAATTGTTAGTGTGACAGACCAGAATGAAACAAATCAAACTCACTGAAGCAACTATTAAACACATTCATTTTAAAGCTCCTGCCATAATAATTGCAAATCACAGTTCTACTGAAAGTTTTGAGTGTGGAAAGGAAAAGAAGCAGATAGTGGAAAAGAGTTTGTCACTAATCACCAGATAATCATATTCAGTAGCAACACACATCACATCTTCACTGTGCTGTGTTCATAAGATTCCTTTATATGACTATGAACAAGAAAATTATAAATTAGTGGTAAAAATCTGCCCTCAGCACTACATTATTTAAAATCTCCTCATATATTTTACTCACCCTGCATATTATCAGGCATGGAAAGCCATCATGCTCCTTCAGATGCTACAAGGAGACTGGGTGGGTTCAGAGAGTCAACAAATTGGTTGCATTTAATTGCAACAGCTGCTTACAATGGAAAACAAATTTTGATGCATGGACTGTTTATATGAAGACACAGATGAAACCCTGAAGACTAGAAGGGCATATATTGTTGGGGTTAGGCAGTCATGCAGAGGGGCTCCTCAATAAGGAAAACTGAGACTGACAGCTCACTCTGGTGTCAATATATTGAACACCTGTCCATTAAAAATTAATGCACTTCAGCTTCAACATTTCTTCCATGTCAATTATAAATCAGCATTGCACAGATGGCCATCTGTCCTCGTCTTGTGCACTCTGAGGAATATGCAATTGTATCACCTTGCCAGTAGATGGCATGTAAGAAAAAAGGTAAAGTTATCCCTGTATCAGGCCATGGAGGCCATACAGTTTTGAGATGTTGACGGTCCCATATTTTCTTAACAATCTGCTCAAAGACGGAGGTGAGGTTGTCATCCTAACAATCTGGCCACCCTTTACCTCCAGGAAGATTTCTTTGTGGCATTATGATACAAGCCAGAGGGTAGTGGGTGCGATTCCCGATGGGTCATTGAATTTTTCAACTGACTGGATCCTTCCAGTTGCACTACAATTCAGCAGATGGCATATAAAGTCTAAAAAATCTCCTTTTTTTTCCAAATTGAAGTAATTTTAGGTAGAATGTCTGGCTGATAGAAACTGTACTGTACAAAACTGAAACTGGCACAAAATATGTTACCAGGATTTTGGATTCAAATTGCTTAAATGTTTGCCTGCTCTATTATTACAACTCTTTATCTCACACGAGATATTAAAACTGTCATCAAGACAGCATTCTCTGGGGACTACTTATTTTAATATTGAAATGGAAAAAATAGTGAACTAATTAGGGATAAAACCACAAAAATGTAATCGAATTACTATTGGTTATGTACAATCCCATCTGCTCTGATTTCAATGTTAATTTTGTAAAGGAAAATCTGATCTGTCATATGTAATAAAACATCATTAATTTAAATTCTTGCTGCATAATATAATGTAACACTGGCATACATTTTCAATACAAGCCCCATTTCATCTATTAATATAATTTACATTATAATTTGTATGCCCAAAAGTAAATAAAATTGTACTGCATTAAAATACAGGCATTTTCAAAAAGAGCTTTAAAACTTTGAAAGCTTTTATAAATTTATACAGATTACATACACAACTTTTAGAACTGTCATAATGTAGCGAAACACACCGAGTTTCATGCGCGTGGTACTGTAGTACCCAATACTGCCACCGCGAGTGCTCTCACAGTTGAAATCAAGATGGCTACTTTCACAGGTGCAGAGTGTGCTCATTGTGTGTTCTGGTTCGAAGAAACAAAGTCTGCTACACAAGTTCAAAGGAAATTTCGCACTCAGTGTCGCCAGGAACCTCCCAGTAGGCCTACAATTTACTCCTGGCACAAGAATTTTGTTCAGACCAGATGTTCTGTTCGCCATGCGAAGCCACCCGGTTGGCCACGTGTTTCTGACGCTACAGTGGAACAGATTATGGAGAGATTCGTTTGAAGTCTACGAAAGTCAATGCAACGTGCATCTCGGGAAACTGGTATTCCAAATGTTACTGTGTGGCGAGTGTTACGAAAAAGTTTACACTTGAAAGCGTACAAACTATGCAGCGTTCAACACCCTGCGGATGCAGATAAGGTGGTTTGTAAGGAATTCTGTATGCAAATGTTTCATCGGATACAAGAAGATGAGAAGTTTCTGGACTCCATAATTTTCAGTGATGAGAGCACATTTCATGTCAGTGGTAAGGTCAATACCCACAACTGCAAGATCTGGGGCAGTGAAAATACACGTGTCTCCCTGGAACATGTTCGTGATAGCCCAGAAGGTGAACATGTTTTGCACCCTCAGCAAAGAAAGAGTGTATGGCCCCTTCTTCATGGAGACGACCATTACTGGTATCATATATCTGAACATGCTCCAGGAGTTCCTCATTCCACAGTTAGACAAAGATGACCAAGAAAAACGCATTCACTTCCAGCAAGACGGTGCACCCCCTCATTACCTTGGAGAAGTGTGCGAGTACCTCAACACCCGTTTCCCAGGTCGGTGTATTGGTTAGAGCAGTGCTGATAGCATGGCCACCTCATTCCCCAGATCTTATCCCCCTGGATTTTTTTCTTGCGGGGATTCGTTAAAAGACTGAGTGTTCGTACCACCTTTGTCTGCAAATGTTGTTGAGCTCCGAACTCGACTTACTGCCTCAGTTGCAGAAGTGATGCCAGAGATGCTACATAGCATGTGGCAAGAGACTGACTACAGGTCTGCCACATTACACATGGAAGTCACATTGAATCATAACTATCCAAGGTAAAACTCAGTGTTTTTTGCTACATTATGACAGTTCAAAACGTTGTGTATGTCCTATGTATAAATTTATAAAAGCTTTCAAAGTCGTAAAGCTCTCTTTGAAACACCCTGTATTATTCATATTCAGATTTTTCACTAGATGAAATTCTGCTTTCCATTCTTTATATGAAGTGAAGAGTTTGTGGTACTCTGTCCATCACAGTTTATCGCCAGAACTATCTAAAGAATTATGATGAAATTTGATACTAGGAGTCCATAGTGATTGTCATCAAGTACATTTTATTTCTGTCTGTACTGGTCTACCACAACATCTACCTCATGTGCAGCACATGCTGAACTTCAATCTGCCCATGAAAGTCTAAGAAATGTATTTATTTTGTGTGTATATGTAACAAAATACAAGTTATTTATGCCAGTGCAAGGTGTACAAGTCTTTACCAATGTATATTGTGTTCTTCTGGGTAATAATATAATGACGTAGCCTGCTAGGTGGGTATGAACATTTCAGAGGAACATCTTCAGGACTGCAGAAATGCTGGACTTCAATACTAAAGATGAGGTAGTATGTTCCTCTGAAATATTGACTCTCTCCAACCTAACCCAGAAGACCATAAAACTGTAGCGTGTACATCTGTTACTCAGTAATGATTGCAAAACAAACATGTTTCCACAGCAAAGAATCCACATGAAACAATAAAGGAATGGCGTTTCTACTCAGTCTATGCCAAGATGTCATAACCAGAATGGTTTGGAGCATCGAGTTCAGTCGTGGAGTATTAGCCAATGGTCAAGGAAGTGAGTGCAGATGCTGTAGGATCTCCACTGTTAGAAGCCATTACCAGGGAATGACTAGTGGAGACTGTAACCCTAGGCTGTGAACAATAGTTATTTGTAAAGTGTAGTTATGAGTCGAGTGTATAAGCGATCAATAAATCTAATCACCACTCCAAACCTATCTATAGTCACTCATACACGTGACAGTACAAATCTTCACCACTATGAAATCCTCAAATATTACACTCTTTACCGATGATCAAATTTGTTAACAACACGTCTATTCATACAGTAAATGGGCATGAAGATCTATGAGGGATACAATATTTAAGGGGTGTGTTTGTAAAATGTGTCCACTTCAAGTACTTTTCCTTTCACAAGATTCAAGGTTCTGGACAGTGGTGAAAATTAAGATTACTGTCTTCTGCAATGTAACAAGTGTGGTCTGCGAGAGAGATATCAGCGTTTCTGAGGTAATTATTTGCTCCATTTTCAGGGTACACAACATCATATATCAGAAACTTTACTCTCCTTCTCTTAACAGGACATGATTAAACTGCATCAATAATAGATACTTGCAAAACAGACACCTTTCCACTGTATTTACTTTAAACTCTTTTCTTTCTTCCTTTCTGGATTTATTTAACAATGATCTGTCTACTGCATAGGTCATATTTAGCACAGAATTATATTACAAAGTTCTGTCCCATAAGATAGAAGAGTATAGAGTTCCAGCAATATATGCAAAGCAATGTAATAAAATATTCATAATTCTGAATCCATACATACTGTGCTCAGCTATGGAAACTTCCCGTTCTTCTAGCTGTGAAACTCTCCTCTCTTTCTCTCCTTGTGCAATGTGAAGCTGTCCTTGAAGATCAGTCAAGCGCTGACGTAAGCCAGCACCTCCACCTTCCTGAACTTCCTTTTCCAATTCCAAGATCTTTTGATTGGCTAATCTGAAGGGGATCAATGTAATCATTGCACAGGTCTTAATACTCAATGCTATGAGAACCTCAATCTTTCTCTAAAGGTTTGTAACAATGGCTGATTCATTAAACTAGTATATATATATATATATATATATATATAT